GCGACGAGTCCCTCCCAACACCGCCCGCGCGGCCGCATTCTGGACCAGTTGAAGCCTCCGGGTGCTCCTCAAAGGGAGCCCCATGTAGAGAGCATTACAATAGTCCAGGCGGGAGGTGACGAGAGCATGAGTGACTGTGCGCAAGGCGTCCCGGTCCAGAAAAGGTCGCAACTGGTGAATCAGGCGAACCTGATAAAACACCCCCCTGGTCACGGCCGACAGATGATCATCCAATGTCAGCCGTGGATCCAGGAGGACTCCCAAGTTGCGCGCCCTCTCTGAGGGGGCCAGAGTTTCGCCCCCTATAGTCAGCGATGGCGTCAGCTGACTATGCCGAGGCGCCGGCAACCACAGCCACTCGGTCTTGGAAGGGTTGAGCCTGAGTCTGTTTCTCCCCATCCAGACCCGTACGGCCTCCAGGCAATGGGCCATCACGTCAAGGGCATCGTTGGGGTGGCCTGGGGTGGAAATGTACAGCTGAGTGTCATCAGCGTACTGATGGAAGTCCACCCCAAAGCCACTGATGGAAGTCCAGCCCCAAAGCCACTATTAGTCTTGCTTCTTTCTTCCAAATTATCTCTGAAAGGTGATTATATTTAATGCCAACATATACATGGTGCCTTTTACACAGTTTACACATTTTACAGTTCAAGCAGTGTTAGCTATTGATATGGGCTTGTGAAGGATGGGAAGGAGCTGTAAAATTATTTTCCACCCTACTATATGGCTAAGACAAATTCTTCCTCTGAAACTGACATTTGTTTCAAAACGACATATCACCTGATTTCAGTGGAAAATTACCCACCACCACATGGACACACAAGTCAAATGCCAGGTTCAGAAAAGAGACTCTTCAGAATTCCTGGTGGGATAAATTTTTCCACCATATCTACTAAACTATCAGTTTCAAGCTCCATCAGAACAAGAGACTTGCACACTAAAAAAGTTCATTACTGTATCAAATCAAATCAAATCTGTATTGAGACCGTAAACCAGAATAAGGATCATAACCTCTCACTTAGACATGGCAATTGGATAAATGTATAAGTTGTTAGGAAATAATATACCTTCATGCAAAGACTTGGATGTGTATCAACTCGGGAATATTTCACCTGATTGAAAAAAGATTATTAAATTGTCAGCCAACCCTGAAAAGACAAGCATCTGAACAAGAACATTCTATAAAATTTTAATGATATATCATGCATAATGAACACAATTGGAGTGAAGGGGGGGAACCAATCTCTGCTGACCCTAGTCCATGGCTGTATTTGTCTCCACAACTCCTCCCTCTGCACTGAAACTATTCTGTACTTGGACAAGAATGTTAGTTTTTAATGGAGGCTATCTGATCTGATTTCTGCTAAGAGCAGGAATTGTAAAAGAAATCTCTGGTGCTAAAAAAGGGATGGGAGAGTCTCAAAAGAGTATTAACAATGAGCAGAGGGATGCTGTAGATTAGAATCAGTTTCATCTAGAAAAGGGGTGGTTAGCCCTTTAGACTTGCCTCTGGAAAAAGTTCTTAACCTTGTTGAATTCACTATTAAATGAATTTTGGTTTTCGTAATTAATTGGTTTGAAAAATCTACATCATACCCCCATACCTTCCTGACAATGAACCTACCATGATTCCATTTCTTACAATGCTTTGCTGACAGAGAATTCTTTTAACTATGACATGCTTATTAACAGAAGACCATTTCATAACCTGCTTAAGTAACAGTCACCCACGCCATAGTTAATTCCTATTTGAACTATTGTAATATGTTCTACATAGGGATGCCCTCTGTTGGCTCAAACCAAAACTTTAAAACTTATAAAGCTCTACATGGCTTGGGGCCAGTTTATTTGAAGAACTATCTCTCCCTGTCAGTAGTCTTGGGGACCCCGGATTAATATGGAGCCGATCAAGTGACTTGTTTGATTGTGTTTGTTGCTGCTGTGAGGGAAAAGGGACTGGGGGTGGGGTTAAATTGTCACATTTTATTGTTGTACACCACCTAGAATCATTATGTGGGATTTGGGTGATCA